CCATATCAGAATATCTGTGTTTGACTCCTGGCTCTAGCTCCTAACTCCAGCTTCCTGCTAATAAGGATCTCAGTGTTGTGACTCAGGTGACTGGATTCCTGCCACTCATGTGGGAAGCCTGGACTGAGTTTCTGACTCCCAGCTTTTGACTGACTCAACCTCAGCTGTTGTGGACATTTGGAGAGTGAACCAGCAGATGGGAGCTCTCATTGTCAGTATATCTGTCTTCTGTCTGTCTCTTTGCCTCTCAAATAAAATAAATAAATAATTTTAAAAATAAGCTCAGAAATTTCATTGAAAAAATATTAACAATAAAGTATACATTTTGGCACTCACCAACTTAAGGTAGGCAGTGTTTCATGAACATAAAATTCTTTTTGCAATGCAAATTTACATGCTATAGAGACTTAGAATAACATTCATATATTTGAATCATGTTGTTCACAGAAAAATAATTCATGGCTTCCTGAAGGCTATGGAATACCATCCTTTTCACTGTATCTTCAAATTCCTGCCTTTATTCTTTTATTTTTTGTTTTGTGGAAATATTTACTTATTTATTGTTTTCTGAAAAAAAAAAATTGAAATCCATGACTTGAGCCATCCTCCACTGATTTTCCAGGAGCATTAGCAGGGAGCTGGATCAGAAGTGGAGCATCCAGGTGCCCATATGGGATGCTGGCACTATAGGCTGGGGCTTTAACCTGCTGCATCACAGTGCCAGCTCCTCCATGAACATTTTAAAGAATCCTCACATATGTAAGATTAATTTAAAAGGCAAAGTGACTTTTAATATAAGGAAAACTTTATTAAGATGCATTCATATCATACAAAACAGTGACTAATTTATTACTCTAATTCTGTATCATGAATATAGCTTTCTTTCCAATTATATTGATTTTTTAAAATGTGTTTTAGAAATAGAAAAAGAAACAAACCACTCTACTAAAATTCTTTACCATCATTCTGAAACAGAATCATGTCCATCATGCTGAGAAAGACTATTTCAAAACAATATAAACGCCCCCCCCAACACACACACAAAGGATGAGATTATTCAATCAGAGTGGTTTCTGTCCGAAACAACAAAAATTATTCATATTTTCTGAGCTTTGTTTTGCTGAGTTGAAATATTAGATGTAAAATATTTACCATAGAATATTCATAGTCAAGTACACTGTATAATTGAAATGTTTATAGTGTTGAAATGGAGTTTCAACATTATGGGAGTCCTTGCATGGTATAGAAACTTCTAAATTCATTGTTGACATTAAAAAAGTTACATTCCTCTTTAGAATCGGAGCACAAATGAAATTGTTTGAAAATCTAAAGCACCTCTAGTAAGAAATTTCAAGGCTGGGTAACGTGGAGGGAAAACATGGAAGGAAAATTATTTGTTTTTACTGTTTTCTTCTCATGTTTTTCTAGTGAGACTACAGACTCTGAGGTATTTACTAGAACTCAGCATAAATATATCTGTTAAAAATTTTATTTTAACCTTGGCTGCTTGGCTCTTATAATGATACTCATTCTGAGTACGATATTAAATTTATAGAAACAATTAAGTTTATTTTTCATAGCTTGTAAGGTATTTGCATTTAGCATATTAGTCTTACGTTTTTGTGCTGAAGAGTCTCTGGTTTCAAACAAAGAGTTCCATTTCAGAGCACACCTGAATATAAAGACGGATCATCTGAGGATTAGCACTAGACTGATTGTCAGTTATGCATCCTGCTATTAGCTCCCTGGTTATTTATCACAGGAAGACAACATGGAAGAGTCTTTTTGCTAATGGTGCCAAACTCTTACACAGCTACTCTTGCATCTGCAAGTGTGGAGGGGAAGAGCAATTCAGAATGTAAAATCAAATGCAGAGAAGGCCCAAGATCGCTGTAGTCAGTAGACTGGAGGCCAATTGCACTGCTAAGAATACCTGAAGTTCAGTGTGCACGGATTCACACCTAAAAGCTCAATGTTTGATTTAGACACTTATGTAAACTATAGGGACTTCAATTTTGCTGTTTTCATTAAAACTGTTGTTAGAGATTTAAGTGAATGTAAGTTAGAGATTTATGTAAATGTATGTATAGACATATGAATACATATATATAAGATTTTATATGTATACTTGAAGTACATACAAGATAATAGGCACATATAAGGTGTTCAGTTAAGATATATGAATATATATGTTCACCTAATAACATATTTATACACATTATACTTATTCATTCACATGTTACAGCAGTTCCTGACACTGCTTAAATATTAACTATTATTAATTTGCCTTATCATTTCCATATCTAAATTACTAAAGTGTAAGAAAATTGAATTTATCTTATTATTTCTTTTTTCCCCTAAGGGTTCAACAAATTGTCCCTTTCTAAAAAGTTGAGTAAATATACTACAAGAAGCCTAAAGCTAGGTGCTGAGTTAATAGACAGGATAATCACTTCATGAGTACATAAAGGCTAGCTATTTGAAGAACCAGTAGAGGGACTGTTAATGGGGTTTTGCTTCAGACTTGATGGATTGATCTATTAGGGACAGGCTTCAGGAGAACTCTCAAAACAACTGCCTTTCCTGGCCCATTACGGAAACAGCAGCCTTGCAAATGAATAGAATCACATGTAAATCAAAACATGATCATGTGATCATCCTGAGGACAGAGATTTTCTCTGTGTTGGTTCACAGTTGTATCTACAGAGTCCAGGCAAGTGTCCAGAAAATAGTGGAAGCTCAATAACTATTTCTTGAATGGAGCAAATAAGCAGAAAATTTAACCCTTTCTTCAAGCAGGATTAACATTAGAAGCAAAATAAAATAGCCTGTTTTACTATGTCCTGATGGATTTCTGACCCTGAGAATGTTGGTAAGGATAAATGCAAATATGTACATTTAGCAAGTATTTCAGGAATGATGATTTGGTTGAGTATTCACAGGAATGCATCTTGTGAAGTGATGCTACACTTAGTTCAGACTCATGTGCACATGTCACATTTGAATTGCAAATATTTTGCCCAGCCTCTAACTTTCTTGTCAATGCTGACAGGTTTTTCTCTCCAGGGTTTTCAGAAATCTTTGACCTGTAACTAAACATCATGAACTTTTCTGAAGTGAAACGCTGCAAACATTCAGCTTACTTTTAAGTTTCTACAGTTTTAATTGGTTCAAAATCAGTTTTGGACATGATCCAGTTCACAAGTGGGGTTGATGATGTGGTGTTATGTATAATGCAGCTTACAATATCAGATAGTGAATCAAAATAATATAACACCCTTAAAACCATGACTGACTTAATTAAATATAAACACATATTCTTTACTACTCCGATAGTGAACATTTAAAAATTTTAAATAAAGGAATTGCTTGTTTATTTGAAAGGCAGAGTTACAGAGAGGCAGAGGCAGAGAGAGAGAGAGAAAGAATCTTCCATCTGCTGGTCCACTCCCCAAATGGTCACAACAGCTGGAGCTGGGCTGTTGGTCTCCCACGTGGGTGCAGGAACCCAAGGACTTGGGCCGCCTTCTATTGTTTTCCCAGGACATGGCAGAGAGCTGGATTGGAAGTGGAGCAGCCAGGACTCGAACCAGAGCCCATATGGGATGCCAGCACTGCAGGCAGCAGCTTTATCAGCAATGCCACAGCACTGGCTCCAAATAAAGGATTTTTAAAGCAATTTAAGTTTTTATTTGAAAAGGGGAGAGAGAAAGAGAAAGGGCTCCCATCCACTGGTCTCTGCCCAAGTGCCTGAAACAGCCAGTGATGTTACACCACCTTCAACATCACTTGGCCAGGCAGAAGCCAGGATCTGGGTCTCCCACATGGGTGGAAAGGAACCACTACTTAGCCATCATCTGCTGTCTCTTAGGGTGTACATTGGCAGGAAATTGAAATGGAGAGTGGAGCTGGGACTTGAACCTGGGCATTCTGATATGGGATGTGGGTGTCCCAGTGGCAGTTTAATCACTGCACAAACACCTACCTTATTTTAAAGTTTGTATTTATCTATTTACTTATTTAAATTAAGTGACAGAGAGACACAGATAAACAGAGAATGCTCTTACCTACTGATTCACTCCCCAGATATGCATGAGAGCCAAGAACTCCATCCAGGTTTCCCACATGGGTGGCAGGGATCCAAGTACTTGACACATCACCTGTTGCCTCCTACAATTCGCATTAGCAGGAAGCACAAGCTAGAACTCCAGAGGAACCCAGGTTTTCTAATATGGGATGTAGGCAGTACAAGTGATGATGTACCTCCTGCGCCAAATACCTGTCTTGCAAATATTTTCTTGTAGCAGAAAAAGAAGTCCTTGTCTTTTTTACAGCATAAACAATCTAATGATTTGAAAAGGAAACTATTCATCAATACACACTGTGGGGGAAAGTGTTTGGCCTAGCAGTAAGGCATTGATCAGAATGCCTGTGCTTCACATCAGAGTGCTTCCATTTGATTTCTGGCTCAACTCCTGATTCCAGCTTCCTGCAGCCCAAGGAGGCATCAGTGATGGCTAAGTAATTGGATTCCTATCATCCAAGTGGAAAATCTGGATTCAGTTCCTGGCTTCCAGCTCTCACACCACCTGCCACCAGCTGCCACCTGAGGAGTGAACAGTAGATGCAATCTCTCTCTCCTTCTCTATTTCTCTGTCTCTCTGTCTTTTAATACAGTAAAGCAATGAAAATACACATTGTTTTCCTATTTATCTTTGTAATGAAAACTGAGATGGGTATTAGTCATCCTTGGGTAAACTGCACATAATTCATCTATCTGTTCTAAATACAGTAAAAACCCAAAACAACCTCAAAATACATCACTAGTTAATAAGATTTGATTTCTTAAAATGGTGTCCATGATCTCATTTAACTTTGGAGCTTCCAGATGTTAGTAAGTCACCAAAAAGCCATCACTGATTTATAATGCACATGACCACATCAGGCCTGGCCCAAGAACTCTGGGCCTGGAAAGAAACACAGAAATGTTTACAAGTGAGTCACTGCAGAAATTCCCTGAACATTTATTTTTGTCTTCACAGAAATCAATGAGGCCTAATTTAATCAGAATGAACATTCAGTTTCACTTTATTCCAACCTACTGTTTATATACTTGAAGCCCTGTGTAGAAAAGGTTTAGGGTTAGAACATTGCTAAAGGTGGTGTAACATCACTTGGCCCTTGGATATGTAGGGTGCACATTTCACATCATTGTACAGTAACAAATGTTTACAGTTACTCAGGATCTGATCAACATGAACACACTTCCTGCTTAAGGCTAACCAATATTGGAAAGCAATCACTTCTGGGATCTCGATCCAACATCTTAACACAGTGTCACCTGAGTTGCTAGAAAAGATTCCTCACTTAAAAAATCTATTGGCAGGATGTCTTCTCATCTGTCAGCTTCTTTTCACTTGCGTATTAGAGGAGGCACTTTAAGAGCTACTAACTAGCTTCAGCAGAACAAGACATTGGGTTTCAGGAACCACTGGTAATATGGAGAGGAATTAAAATAAAACTGGATTAAGTGGTAAATCAGTAGATCCGAAAATTTCTCTAAATTTTGTAAACAAGAAGCCACACTGGTCTTTGATTTTAACAATTGCCTTACTTAAAAAAAAAAAAAAAAAGCCAGAGAATTACTTATCATCCATCTACATCCAGATATGTGAACAGTACAGTTTTCTGATGTTAAGGTATAATGGTTTTGCTGTTTGGGCTTTTAAAGGTTTTATAATATAATATTGATGAGTTAAGTACTTTGGGTTATTTTTTCGAGTAATACTTCAAAATATTGTATTATAGATAGGTCTCAAGTAGAAAAACGAAAAGGTCGAATACAACACTGGAAGAGTTTAGTAAAGTGTATAAAAATTAAAAGACTAAAAATACCACTCTGTTTTAAAAGTGTAAAAATAAATCACATTCAGTCTCGAGAATCCAGTGCGTTACTTTTTTGGGGGGTCGGGGTGGGAGGTGGTGTCTCAGCTGGGACGTACTGCACCCTCCACAACACGTTGGAAAGCAGGTCCTGGTACACACTAAGGAATATCCAACCAGGCAAATACATCAGGGTAATGAGGCCCATGAAGTTGAGTGGGTAGTGAGAGTAGTCCCAAGAACAAGCCCCGCACATGCGAAGCCCCAGCCCCCAGGACAGTTCCCACGCGTAGATGAAGATCACGTAGATGGGCACCCGCTTCCACGTGCCCCAACCGCGGCTGTAGTAGAGGTAGAAGTAGAGCTTCTCCACCACGAAACTGCAGCTGCCGTACATGAGGAAAGACCAGAGCGACGTGTGGCCGGTGGTCGCCTTGTCCCCCTGCCCCAGCACGTTGAAGAAGAAGGTGAAGAAGATCTCATCCAGAAAGCCGTGCATTCCGAAGAACAGAAAGCGGAGCGGGTCCGGCAGCCCCTGGCGGGGGCCGCCTCCTGCACCCGGGGGGCCTCGGGTCGGTGGCCGCCTGCCAGCGGCTGCAGCAGGGGCCCGGGCGCCGGGGGCGGCGGGGAGCGCGCCCTTCCGAGGCTGTGGCTGCTGCTGGCGCCGCCGCTGCCGCCCGTACCGCAAGCGCAGGAAACGCTTGAGGAACACTTGGCAGTGGTAGAGCGCCAGCACGTACTGCAGCGCCAGCTCCAGCGCCCCCGGAGCCGCCGCGCCCCCCGGCCCGCCGCCCAGGCTCAGCAGCAGCGCCTGACCCGCCAGGGTCTGCAGCCCCACGTGGGCCGAGGGGTAGAGGAGGAAATTGAAGACGAAGGCGCTGGGGCAGCGCGGCTGCTGCAGGTAGACCTTCTCCAGTGCGAAGTGCGTGAGCGAGTGCAAGAGGCAGCGGTAGGGCGAGGAGAAGCCGAGCATCCGCAGGTCGGGGCTGCGAGCGAAGCGCCGCGCCGAGGACAGCAGCACGTCCAGGGTGATACCGTGCATGCCGTAGAAGTAGAGGCGCATCCAGGCGGGCAGTGCTTCAGCAGTGGACAGCGGCTCCGGGCAGCCGGCGGCCGCCTCGCCCCTTGGCCCGCTGGGGGCTCCCGGATGCCGCGGCGCGCCGCCCCTCCGAGCCGGCCCTTCGCTGTCCACATCGCTGCCTGCCATGGACTCCGACGCTCCGGGGCCTCCCGAGCCCGCGTCCTCGCCGCCGGTAGCGTGGAGCTGCGGGGCAGACAGGCCGAGCCCCGCGCCGCCTCCCGGCCGCTGCCGGCCCCCGGGGGTCGCGCAGGAAGCTCCGTCTCTGCCGCGCTTTGGCGGCAGCAGGACGTGGTGCGTTCCGGGGATGCGCGGGCCGCCTGGCTGGCGGAGTCCCCACGCCTTGGCCCCGCTGCGTCCTCCCTTCCAGTCCCGGCCAGGTGCCGCGGGCCGGCGCCCGCGCTCACCCTGCGCGGCCTAGCGGGCGCCGCGGACAGGCGAGAGGAGGCGGCGCCGGGGCTGCGAGGGGAAAGGCAGAGGCTGGTACCAGCCCCATCCCCTGGGCGGCTCAGCCTCGCCGCTTCTGCCGCAGGCTCTGGCAGCGTAATGCCAGCAGCGACGGCCCTGCCCCCGGCCCTGCCCATGCCCCTCTCCGCCCGTCTCGACCTCGCCCGTCCTCCCTGGTCTCCTCCCCGTCCCAGCCTTCCGCGCCGAGTCGCGGGAGGGTCTGCTCTGGGTGCCGAACTCTGCTGCTTCTCAGCACCCCGCCGCCGGCCGTGCGGGGGCCGCTGGCTGTGGGGAGGCGGGGAGCGGAGAAACACCTGTTAGATGTGACAGCGGGCTGGGCATTCCCTGCGTCTGGGAAACCAGGGCCGGGGCTGGCCCGGCGGGGGGCGAATCCTGGGCGCCGGGCCCGAGCTGTGATGCTGTGTATGAAATGCTCGTGTTCAAAGCCAGCTGTGCCGCGGTCACAGAGCGTAAACGCGAGACTCCACGCCTGACCGGCGGGCATTACCCTGCGCTGGAGAGGCTGCCCGGGAGGGCATGAGCCGCTCTGTCCCTGGCCCGTAGGCTTTTGCTCTGTTAGTGTTTTCAGGGCCTCGGGCCGATTGGAAGTCCTCTAGAATGTATAAAGTGATGTAGGACCAGTTGAGCTGCACAGGAGGGAACGCGTTGCTATGGCTATCCTGGGGTGGGTCTCAGGTCGAGAATGGCACCTTTGCCGGCTCTGGCACATCCCAGGACTGCCTTTTCCTCCGCGCGACCTGGGCGGTCGCAACAGAGAGCGAAACAGAGGGTCAGGGCTCGGCTTTGCATTTTCTTGCCACCCTCCCTGCTTCTCCCCCTCCTTCCTTCTCTTCCTCCTTTTTCTTTGGAGGTGAAGAGGGTGAAGGGAGTTCAGAATTTTGATGTGTTGGGCTTAGACGCCACCATTTTCTCCAATTTTGAATCAGGCTTTGAATTGGGGGAAGCAAAAACCGTAGAGGTAGATTAAACTGATCACCTGCCAATTTTCCCATCTTTCCCCCAAATTCATGCCCAGGCAGAAACTTGCTAACAGTTCTAATCTGTAAGGACATCCAATCCTCTCTGGACAAAAGGCTTTCTGGATTTCTTTATATATATAAAATCTTCTAGAGAATAAACCTTCCAAAGCACAACCTCCATTTCTAATGCTAACTTGTTCTGCTCTTCCCCCTTTTTGTTACAATCCTTGAAGTGGGTGTGAGAGAAAAGTCAAGTTTGGTGATGGCAGCACTTGCTAAAGATGAAAGTACTGATTTTTAAAAACTGTTGAGCATGTTGGTGACTGTCAAGTCAGTCAGTGGGGATTGTCACCAAGGCAGCAATGTCAGGTGCAGGGCCCCCAAATGTGCTGTAGGAGACAAAGCTAGTTGCCCAAGTGCCCGAGGAAATAAAATGAAGAAAATAATAAGATGCACCGCCTTAAAGGGACCTAATGGGAATGATTTAATGGGAATAACAACCATATCTGTGTATCACACCTGTGTGAAGCCTGCCTACTCATGATTATGATGAATATCTAAGGTGCAGGCATTTAGACTAAAGGTTAAGACATCCGCAGCCCATACCACACTACTTGAGTTTGCTTTGCAGCTCTAGCTCCTGGTGCCAGCTTCCTGTCAAAGCAGACTCTTGGGAGGTAGCTGTGATGGCTCAAGTAATTGGGTTCCTGCCACCCACATAGGAAAATGGATTGTTCCCTAGTGCCTGGCTCTGCCTCTTCTTGCCTGTTGTGTACATTTGGGGAGTGCACCAGCAAATGGGAACATTTTATGTCTATGTATCTCTGTCTTTCTCTGTATGTCTCAAATAAAGAAAAAGAAATAAAAAAAAAGGTAATAAATAATTGTGAGTGGCTAGTAGTAGTTGCAAAGTAAAATACAGGGCTTTTAGGGGAGTTATTTTATTAAATAAGCTCAATCCTTGTGCAGTTGATCAGACATCAAAAATAACTAGTCTTTCTCCATAATTGCTATTCAGATGAGAGAAAACAGTTGATTGTAGTAGCAAAGATGTAGCCATTCAAACCTGTGTATAGTAACTTGCTAAATTAAACTTGCATTGTTTTCAAATATAAATTAAGGTTTACTTAAAAAAGTTTAAATTTTTTTTTATCTACTTGAAAGGCAGAACAACAGAGAGAGAGAAAGAAAGATTTCTAACTGTTGGATACTCCTCAAATGTGTGCAACAGCTGGGGCTAGACTAAGCAAAAACCAGGAGCATGGAACCCCATTTGGGTCTTCCATGTGGGTGGCAGGGGTCCAAATACTTGAACCAACATCTGCTGCTTCCCAGGATTGGAAGGAAGCTGGATTGGAATCGAAGGAGCTGAGACTCAGTCTGACACAGCTATATACAGTACAACATCCACCTCATAAATTAGACTTCAAAGGCCCAAGTCTTCTATTTATTCTTTTTCTTAGGAATGCTAGAAAAAGAAAAATCTTGAAAGGTCTACTTGTATAGTTTAGTTTAAATTTCATCCCAGAGAGTGTGAGAAAATCATTTTAATTTAAAAAAATACAGCTTGTATTTCTGTATTTTTAATTTGAGCATTTAAAAATGTTTCATTTTTTGTATCCTATATTTTATAAAATATATTAGTATAATAAGACATATGTAAAATTTCTGTGTCTATACTCATACATATGAAACATGCTTTTTTTGTTGAGGACACACAATAAAAGCTTGTGGCTCACTGCCATCACTGTAGTGCTCTGTCCAGTGGGTCAGACTATTAAGGATCTTCTCATTCTTCTGGATCTGTCTCTAAAGCTATTTCCCACTTTTCACAGAAATGGATAGAAAATATTAGTGAACAGTTATAAAAATACAGCTATTTTCTTTTTTAAAAAATATTTATTTATTTATTTAAAAGGTAAAGTGACAGAGGGAGAGACAGAAGGAGAGGAAGAGAGACAGAGATACCTTCCATCCACTTGTTCACTTCCCAAATGTCCTCAATGGCCAGGGGCTGGGCCAAGCTGAAGTTGGGAGCCAAGAGCTTCACCTTGGTCCCTCATTTGGGTGGCAGGGTCCCAAATACCTGAACCATCTTCCACTGCTTTTCCCAGGCCATTAGTAAGGAGCTGGATCAAAGTGGAGCAGCTGGGACATTATCTGGCAACCATATGGGATGGTGGCATTGCAGGAAACAGCTTAACCTATTTCACCACAATGCTTGTGCTTAGGTAAATCTTTAAAAAATTCTATGTTTTTTTTTTTCTGTTGCAAGTAGCAAATATTGTCAAGACACATCTGTAAACCCATTAACGTTCTGGGAGTTGGTGGGCCTCAGGATGAGGGAAATTTAAAAATAAGAAACAAGAAACAATAATGAAAGAGCATCAGTTTGAGATTTCTAAAGTTTGGCTCTGTGGCTCAAAAAGTATTCTGGAGTAATGTTCTGGCACTGAAGCAGTCTTCTATGACCTCAGGGGTTAAGAGACTGTCTGGGTACTCACACCTACAGATGGGTAAAAGTTCATGTGGCACCAACACTGACCTTACTGGACTGGTCAGCTTGCTATGAACTGGTGCAAACTTTGGCACCAGGTAGTCAGTGTGGCTGGAGAGAGAGATCTGGGAATTATTAGAAGCACCTGGTCTTTCTGAAGTTAGTGACAGTAGATTCAAGGTTGTAGTTTTCTCTCTTTTTCTCTGGCTGAATGGCATATGTGAAATCTTTCATTGCACATCAGAAAAACAAAAGGAAAAGATGTGGAGGACACAGCATTAGGGGAATTTCAATAAGGCAACACAATTTAGATTGAGCTGTTTGGTCTATAGTTGCCTCTGTACATATATGAAGTTTATCTGAAACATTTCTTTATACATTGTGACTGTAATATAACTTTATTTATGCATACACTGTAGCCCACTTTTGTAACAAGTAAGTAAATACCAGTCACAAAGGGCCAACTATTCCACCCATGTTCAAGTAAGGCAGAGATGAGCTGTGGCCAATCAGGCAGTGTTGGCACCTCACTTCTATTTTCTGTATGTCACTTCCTCTTCGCCAGCTATAAATACAACCCACCCATATGGCAGGACAGAGCATTTTGAACCATTTTTGGTCTGGACTACTGCCCAATTCCAGAACTGCAAATTCAGTTAAGATCTGCAAAATGAGGCTTCTTGTAATTTCATTTTTTAACGGTTCTGGTGAACATACAAAGGAACCAGAAGGAGACCTGCTCTTGATTCTCAATATCCCTCAAGAAACACAAGGATCTCTATGGTCCTCTGCCTTCTTTATGGTGCCCCGAGGGATGTCAGTCCTCCTGGTGGGGACTATTCTCTTTTAATTGAACTCCCCAGATCTTACTGGCTTTTAAATGTGTTACAGGCCTGAGAGTCTTAATCTTTATTTCATGGTTTTGCCTCTACAGTAATAAGAATTCAAAGCATTTAGTGCACAAATGAGGGCAAAATTTATTTGAGAGAGAGAGAATATACATTCATGGGTGAGTTTGAGCCATCTCACATGGAGAGAAATCCATCATGAGTTGGCCAGAGTGTTGGTTATAGGGAGAGAGAGGGAGAGGAGGCCCAAGAGGGATCCCAAAGATGCTCAAGGGCAAATCAGGGCCCCTCTCATGTTATCAGTCCCTTTTAAGAGGTAGGGAGCTGTACCTTGAAAAAACAAACCTGGTGGTGTCTTAGCTTGTGTGAAACCTTCTGGGTTTTTATGGAATTCCCAATGTGGAATTTAACCTCCATGTGGCCATCATGGAGTCTTTTCCTTCCTCGTCCTGCATGAGTCACAGGTATATCCCAGGAAGGTGGGCCTATTAGATTGACAG